AGACACATTTCAGGGCTTTAAGAGCCAGAGTGCCCAGCAACCAGGCTTAAAATCACATAACAGATGATTTTCAGCTGACCTTCACTGACAATATTCTCTGCATAACAAGTTCAGCTCTTTCCGTCTCATCAAGATTAATGACTGCTAATTTAAAGTGCAAGGACTTAACATACTTCATTCTGTAAAAATGTTGTTTTCCCATTAAAAGCAATTAGACTGGCTTTAGTTGTTGTAAGCTGCTCTTTGTACTAATTATGAGCTAATGTTTTTTTTTGACACAATTCTTGGAGAAAGTAACAAAGGTTAGTAGTTTTTTAATGGCTGAGCTGTACTGGTAGGTTTCCCTTATTGCCCGTTGAGGCCTGGAATAGAGGTCAGTCTGTTCACAACTCTGATTACGATGAAGTGAGTAAAAAAATACCTGATTACAATTTTGACTCGTGCACATTTACCCTTGCCTGCATAAAACTGAAACCTAACATGCTTTAATAGGGATTATACTTATAGATCAATGGATACCCTTAAAATGATAACAAAAAAATAAATATTTTTTTATTATTTTACAACAGGAGTCTGTGAAACATTTTTCGCCATACGGTCACTACAACCACGAAGCAGGCGGAAAAAGTTTCGCTCATTTTTTTGAAGATGTTGCGACACCTGTCCAGGAGTCATAGTCAATTCTGTCAGTTCACACCAGTGCAAACAAAGATTCCTGGTTGGGTGTTGAAAGGTCTGCAAAAAAACTTAGCAAAACTCTGGTTTCCCCCAATTTAAGTCGGCTTTATAACAGTGATCTTTGTTTATAAAATGTTTATATCTCTAACTCATTTAATTAAACTTGGATAACTAGATCTTTACTAATAAGCACAGATGATGATTACAGTAATTTACACCATCTGAGGTAAATGGAGGCAAAAGCACTGTTAGTTTTCTAAAGCAACGCCTGAAAATACTTCTTCTGTTTTTGATATTTTGGGGAAAAATGAAAAAAATACATAAAATAAAAATCAGACAATAGGTAGGTTTGAGCTATCCTTGGGTACAGTTACCTGGTTACCTGGGGCCTGAAATGTTCACACTTAATGTAATTATGTGATTAAACATTAACTGTAGTTAAGGTTCACATTAAAATGGATTAGGAATCAAAAATGTATCTAATTCAACTGTTTATATGGGCATAAGTTATTGGAATAAAACAGCCAATTGGTCTTCCCAATGGCTCACTGATCCCCAAGCATTTAACCCATCCCCTTGGGGATGGGTTAAATGCAGAGAGTGAATTTCCCTGCTGTGGGACATTAAAGGGGTTTACATTTTAATTTTTTAATTTTTTATGTTTAATGTAATTGATCTAGTCAGAAGCTTGCCAGAGCAGCAGCCAATTTAAAGCAGAAACACTGCATTTGGATGTGTGGTGCACACACACTCAGGTTAGTTTGGATCATTCAGAATAACTTGGTCCTGAAAAGCATTTAACTGCATGATCATGCAAATTATCAAATGAACTATTATTATAAACCATCTTCTCAGTCAGGTCACAATTTTATTCTGATTCTGACAAATCCGACAGAATATTACGACTGATAAGTTTACATGACATGTTTTTTTGGTCTAATCAGCTGTTTATTCTATTTAATTATATACATGTAAATGTAGCTACTGACATAGTGCACACGTGGACATCTTTTATGTTTACATGCACAAATTCTGGATTGCAATGTATTTGGATAAAAAAAAAAAAATGCTTATACCGTTAATATGGACATGAGTGATTAGAATAAAATGACATATTGGTCTAAAAATGTAAACATGCCTGCCAGAATCCTATGATCAGATTCAGCAACACAGTTAAATTTGATTGTAAATTGTTGTACAGTGAACATAAGTAATCTGATTACATTGAGATGTTTTCAAATTAGCCAATTAGTCTAATAATTTTTCTGTCTGACGTGACAACCATTTATCCTGATAACTGATGATCCTGTTAACGTAGCTTCTCAGGTCAGTTTGCCACAGTCAGAATGACATTATCCGATGTGTTTACATGCATGCCATTAAGATTGGGAATCGGAATTACCAACCCAGAATTTGAGTTTCTCAGATGCTTAAAAAAAAATTTATATATATGTATGTTTTAAATAAGGTAGCTAACCAGAGTCGGTCTGGATGAAACAGTCTGAGCTTTTCAATGAATTTAATACTCTGATGATTCAACTTTTTGTAAACATAACCATAAATTATTACATGATTTTTGTTCAACTGGAATCTAAATATCAAACATATGAACTCTAGTATATATCTTATGATTTTTTTCAGTTTTTAGTGTGAGTAAAACTGAGATCCCCAGGGATTTGAAAATTGTGTTTTGTTAAATTGCGATTGTTCTGCATATGCCCTGAAGTTTACGTATTTTACTTGTACAGACAGAGAAACAATCAGATTTCATTGTATATCATGCAGTTAGTCGGTTTCATCATATGAATTGGATCCCAAATTAAAGCAATGGACCATTAATTCAGGTATACTTTATTGTATTAATTCTTTCATTATTAATGAATACATTTTCTATTTGTCTAGCAGATCTAGATTAAGAGTGCATCAAAAACACATAGGAAATAACACAGGTATCTTTTAAAACATGTAAGGTAATGTAACTTAGGAAGGTGTGCCATGAATATGAATACGGGGGGGAACAAATATCCTTGGGAAGCCTATCTTAGCACAGCACCAGTGCAGCAGGTCAATGATGTAGCTCTCATCCTGAGTCAATAGTGTTTAATTACATCATGTTAACCATGTGCTGAACTCATAATACAATCCCACAACAAGTGTTACACATAGCCGACCAGTCATATCTTTAATTAATCCTAACCCACACTTTCCACTGCCCCATGGTCCTGTGGATCCACTTTATTTGGCGACTTCTTCCTTCAGTCGGTTGTCTGGACATCAAAATTAGGAATCAAAATCAAAATGCTATACTGAAGAAGTTTGCATTGAAACACATTCATATTAAAAATTAGCTCAGTCAAAGTCCAGCTCTAAAATCAATTGAAATCTGCAGTAGAAAATAATGTTCACAGACAATTTTGTTTGCAATTTAAAACAGAAATTCCTGCTGCTGCAAGTAGAGCATAAAAACTCAGAGGAGGATGAATACAAAGCCAGACCAAACCTCTGCTTTGTGCTTAAATAATTATGTAAAATATGTTAAAGTTTGTAGCTGTAAGTGTGACATATTTTAAATGGTTTATGTATGTTTGGAAGGGAATGCAGTCCTTCCGTGAGATTTAAGGTTTGCCTGCAACAGGAAACAGTTATGGCTGAATAACAAGACCAGACAACTGTGCTGAGGGCTCGTAGTCAGTGATTTATTGGTCTGTACAACAGGTCCTCCTGGAGAACCAGCCTTAGAACTATGATTGACTCCGACCTCTGCCTGTGGTCGAGAGGATTTTTGTGTGAGTGCAGTTTTAAGTTTAGGATTAGTAATCTTATGGCTGTTGTTCAGAATTTGAGTGTTTTACCTATTACCGTACCTACTTTTAGTATTTCAAATGTTTATACCATTGTCGTGGGAAAAAAGTATTCAACTAATCATCCTAGTTGAATAAACGGAGATCGATGGATTTTACTCTGTCGGCACATTTATTCATATCATTGCAAAGAGAGAGCAGTTCATCATACAGCCCTTATGGAACAGCATTCTGCCCTGTTCTGCATGAGCAGCGTTCATTCCCCCCCTTACTTACAACAATGGAAAAGTATGGAAGTAAATCTGTGTCGCTGGGATTTGAATTAAAAATGCCACTGAAATCTAAATGTTGTATGTTTGTACTTACTGTTTCAGTGTTAAAATGTATTTAGAACACATTTTTGACCTAAAAAGAAGATCATTATCATTCATTATTTCTACATAGTTGAAATTTCATTTATTTTCTCCTCAAGCTAAAAATTCACAACTGGCTCTATTTCACTGTCTTAAATTTGGCGTCTAAATTCAGTGTAAAAAGGGAAGGGGTTACTTCAGGTCACAGACATTAGCAACTGACACTGAAAATATTGAGTTTGAATTTTGAAAGGTTGAACTTTCTTATATGCAGATTTTTTTAACACTCAAAAATTCAACTGAAAAATAAGTACTGAAAATGTAATCACTTTGAAATAGTAATGTGAATTTTTAGCTTGAAGAGAAAATAACAAATGAAATTTCAACTGTGTAGAAATAATGACAATGAACTTCTTTTTAGGTCAAAAATGTGTTCTGAATATATTTTAAGTACAAACATAAAACATTTAAATTTCAGTGGCATTTTTAATACAAATCCTAGCGACACAGATTTACTTCCATAGAAAAGTAGTCAGAGTCAAAACAAATTACAGACACTTTGGTTAACTGTAACATGTTATGAATCAACCTTGAGAAAGAATCTGGTTTGTTATGGGAAGAAGCTATGTCTGGTCTACAAACACCATCCTGCTGAGAATTGTGTGGCCTTGAGAGAGAAACAGACTTTTATAGTGAGTAAATAGCATAAATTAATATATAAAAGAAGAGAAATCAAAATTTTCCGACAACAACCATCAATATGTTTCATGACCTACTGCTGGCTTTTATCTTAGTCCAGTAAACTGCTTTGAAAGGTAAAACGTTTAACGTTGTTGAGATTTAGCAATTGTGTGATAGAAAACCTGCAAGTGGAAACTCATTTTGTCGAATAGATGGATGCAGTGAGGTGAAGATAGCACAATGGCGAAGAGTCGCAGAAATGGTGTAAAGTGGAGATAATTAGTGCAGGGTATCAGGGGAGGAGAGGCCTTGGCAGGAATAATGAGAGAAATGATGAGACTGATCTCCTCTGATCAGAGGATGGTTGCTGGGATTTAGATCAAGTTTACAGTTTCTGACCAACATGGTTTGATTGCAGCGTTTTGGCATGTTTTAATTCCCTTCGTTGACACACTCTGATCTAATCCGTGCTTCTTTTGCTCTGCAGCCAGGAAAACATGTGCCCCTGCAGAGTTTGCCTGCTTAAATGGGCAGTGTGTCCCGGGACGGTGGCGATGCGACGGGGAACCTGAATGTCCAGATGGCTCAGACGAAGCAGAGGAGACATGCAGTAAGTTATCTCATTCTGTATATTCCTGCTATAAACTGACACGGATTTGTCTTTAGGAATCTGCAGCAGAGAGGTGTTCTACAAAACTTTTAGTGTAAAAATGTTCTTCCTTTTTTGCTTCCCTGGTCAAGAAGTTAAATTTAAAAAATTTTTTTTTCAAAATCAGACTGAGCCATTCTCACCTCCTAGAGTTAAAAGCACTCAGCTCCTCTCTTTTCCTCCTCTCCTCTCACTGCCAGAGAGCCTCCTGTACAATTGGGGCCAAGGGTTAAAACAATTAGCTGCTAGAAGCCTAAAGCTCTGTTAATATAGCAAGTATATCAGGAGAACAGCCTTTTGGATCTTCTTTGGTGGACAAGGAAAAAGCTTTATTCAGACAATTATTGCAGGTGAGGAAGACAAATGCATTGATGCAGCTTTTACCACCTAGCATCAGTTGTTAAGGAATACATTAAAAGATCCGAGATAAACAACAGACCAACAACTGGAGCAGAAACTATCCAGAACAGAGCTGAACCTACTTGGCTTTTTTTAGAGCAAAATGATAAAAATCAGAAATGCTGCTAAGTAGATTTGTTTGGACCAGATCTATGTTTACTTCAAAGGCTGAAACATTTAATCAGATTAATCATGATTAATCGCTTATTGAAATGATCATCAAATGATTTAGGAAACAATTAATCATTAAATGGAGTATAGAGACTCTAAAACATGCCTTTAGTTGTCAGAGTCACCCAATTATTTCAAGAATGTAAAAAATATATAAACATTTTAAATTTAAGATAAAAAAAATATTTGTCTGCCGATATGCTCTATCCACAGCTTCGCAAGTAGAAACACCTTACTTTCAAAAATATTACGCAAAATAAATGACAGATTAACTGATATGCAATATAATCATTAGTTTTGAATTTGAATTTTCATTGGAGATTTAAATGTATCAAAATTATAACCAAAAAATATATAACTTATTTTTTTTATGTCAAGTGACAATTTCTTGGACTTGAACCAAGAGGATAACTTGTCAAGTTCTTCATTAACTACCTTTATTCAAATTTTAGGGTTTTTCTGCAAATAAGATTTTAGAAGATTTATCTGAAACATTAGGGAGGTCTTTAACATGTATTAAAAATAACAGGGGAACCAAGATGGAACCTTGTGGTAAACCACACTAAAGAGGAAGAAGAGGTGATTCTGTCCCTTTATAGTTGACAGTTTCATACCGGTCTGAAAGGTAGCTAGTGAACAAGAGTAGTGACTTATTTCGAAAGTCTTAGTCCCATGGAGAATTTAAAGCAGAGCTGGGAAGGTGTGTGTGTATGCAAATTGGACTCAATTTAATTTGTTTTATTTAGAAAAAAGGGCCAAAATGTAGGAAACTGGAAAGGTTATAAAATTAAACCCAATATGTTTGACTAATGTTGATCAATTGAATTATATCTTGCAACTTCAAATTTTGTTTTTTCTTTTTTGTTGCGTGTGTGTTACTGAGCTGAAAAGGAAATGGTAAAAATCTAAATGAATCTTTCAGAGGATTGTCTTTTAAGTTTCTTAGCAATTTGTGAATTTTGTTGGTCTCAATATTTAAATAATGTAGCAGCCAAGCAAAATCCCAAATGAGTCCTGCAGAGTTAAAGGAGAGAGACAGTAAAAGACTTTGGAAGTAGAACGTGTTTATGTTGAGAATCCAGTAAAAAATTCATGAAGGAGGGTTTCATATCTTGGCTGCAGAATAAAGAGCTAGGTGTCCTGATTTGGAAATCTCATATGTGTTCTGTTGATGCTTTAAATTACAAAGTTTGAATTGCAAAAGTCAAAATTGTGTTTGTCTTTGCAACAAATAAATAAGTAAAAATAGTAAAATAATGAATTTCGGGGGTTTGTTTTCAACATTGTGGGATTGGTGTCACATAAAAGCACACCTTGATGATAAGTAGCTCTAACCCCGCTGCCTCTCGCTGTCTTACTAATATTTTCTCATGAAAGGAGTCAGATCACGACAACATGAACTGAACAGGGGTTTCCTAATTAGATCTTCATCACAGCTGTCTGTCTCCGGTTTGAGTGACTCTTGCTGTGACTTAATCACTCTGAAGAGGAGGATGGATGAAGGGGAACTCATAGGAGGTCATTTTATACATTTACAACTGGAGTAACCAATTAACACTTAGCTGGTTCTGTCATAAAGCTAATTTTACTGTGAGGGTAATACTATGAAGTCAGAAAATACTTATATTAGCAGTTTTATATTAGGGTGGATTCATGTAAATTTCTCTGAACTTTAAATGTTTTAGATGTGCAGATTCCAATATTTCACAATGCTTCATGCTTCTTCTCTGTGTTCGTCACTTGTTTTTTTTTATTTTTTTTTTATTTTTT